CTCCTTATTTCTCCTTCCATTTTAATTGAGAGCCTTGCTGGATAGAGCATCCTTGGTTGTAGGCCTTTGCTTTTCATTCCTTGGAATATTTTTGCCATTTCCTCCTGGATTACAGTGTTTCTGTTGAGAAGTCAGCTGCTAGCCATATCGAGGCTCCTTTGTATGTTACCAACTGTTTCTCCCTTGCTGCCTTCAGTATTCTTTCTTTATCTTTTATATTTGTCATTTTAAGGATGATGTGCATTAGAGTGGGCCTCATTGGGTTCCTCTTCAATGAGGACCTCTGTGCTTCCTGGACCTGTGAAACCTTTTCTCTCTTTGAATTAGGGATATTTTTCACCATTACTTTTTCAAACACGTTCTCTATCCCTTGTTCCTCTTCTCCTTCTGGTATCCCTATTATTCAGATATTATTGTGTTTCAGGTTTTCCTGCCTTTCCTTAAATGCCTCTTCATTCTTTTCGAGTCATTTTTCCATTTCTTGTTCTTTCTGGGAGCTTTTTTCTACCTTGTCCTCCAGCTAGCTGATTCGATCCTCTGCTTCATCTAGCCTGCTTTTGATTCCTTGTATTGTGTTCTTCATTTCAGAAATGGTATTCTTCATTTCCTTTTGTCTCTCCTTGATAGTTTCTATGTCCTTTTCTAGGTTGATATAGATTTCCATAAGTTCCTGATAGTTCCCTGCAGTTTCTCATAGTTCTCTTTGAGCTGGCTGAGCTCAGTGAACTTCCATGGAACCACTGTTTTGAATTCAATATTTGATAATTCACTTGCATCTATTTCATTTAGCTCTCTCTGTGGGGATTCCTCCTTTCCCCTCATTTGGGGGGAATTTCTTTTCCTTCCCATTATTTGTGAGAGCATTTTTTAATTTTTTTTTGCTTTTGTTTCAATTGATTCATCTAGATTTCCTGACTTTTTTGTTTAAACTTCTATGGTTGTAGGTGGGTCTTTTATTTTTTCATTTCTTTTCTTTCTGGATCTGCCTCTGATGATATCAGTTGTTGACCCTGTCTGACCCTGGGCTATTTGTTTGAGCCTTCCAGGAATCTACTGTCTGTGTGTCTCTCTCCTGCAATTGTCAATCTGGTCACTCTGCCCTCATCTGTCAGGCTTAGGCATCACAGGGTGGAGCAGTGCCTCCTTATGGCAGGACTGTCATGTCCTCATAGGCTGCCGTCACTCAGGGGAGTGGTCCACCTCAGCAAGATGGAGAATGTGGACTGGGGAAGAAGTCAGCACCAGGGTCCCCCCAGCTACTCCCTTAGTTCTCTCCCCAGTGCCTCCGCCTCCAGTCTTTCCTCAGGAGTCTCTAGTCAACTATGTGTCCCGTTTAGCCTGGGGCCTACTATCTCTGTAGGCAGCTGCACACTCAGCACCAAGGCCAGCATGCAACTCCTGTCCAGGCCAGACTGTCCTGAGGGTTTTTATTTTCTTTCTTGCCACTGCCTCTTTGGGGTGTGGTCTGCCTGTGCAAAATGGATACTATGGAATGGGGAAGGAGTCAACTCCAGGTATTCCTGGCTACTCTTCCAGTTCCTTCCCCAATGCCTCTGTCTCTAGTTTCTCCTCAAGAGTTTCTAGGCAGCTCTGTGTCCTCTTTGGCCAGGGATCCTCTATTTCTTCCAGTCACTCTGCACTCGGCACCCCAGCTTACATGTGCGCAAGCTCTGAGAGGAGCACATGGATGGTAGGTTTATCCATTCACTTATGCCTGAGTGAGATGGTAGCTGCAGAGTGGGAGGTGAGTCATCACTGGGGCTCTGTTAACCACTGTCTCAGTTCTCTTTACAAAGTTTTCCTCACCCATCTTTCCTCAGACACCATCCCACTCTGCTGCTGCCTCTACCCAGAGATTAAGGAAGGCGGCTGTCACTGCAAATTTTTGAGTTGGCCCTTTAAACGTCACTGCATCTCCAGCCACGTGTCTCTGGCAGAAAGTGCCCCTAAGCTTTTAGCAGTTGCATTTTGTCTGTGTGTTTTCCTTGTTTCAGCTGCTGTAGTCTAGGGGTCCCTGTTTATGATTCAGACCCTGTTCTTCTCAGGGGGATCCAGCTGGTTGTTTCTCTGTCCCTCTGGTGCTGGTGCCCGTGGGCACCCAGCCCACCCTCTTGAGCCTCCAATGCACTTTTGACCCATTAGGATGTGTGAAAATTGATTCCACTGTCTGTCCATGGCTCCAAGGCTCCTCTCACTCTATCGTTCCATTGTTTTCCAGGTGATTTCTCCACTATTTAGTCCCAATTCCAGTTTGATGTTGGGAGGAGGTCAGGATGACTTCCATTCACTCCTCTGCCACTCCTCTCCTACCTATAGTGGTTAGATATTTATATAACTTATGTGGTAATTCCCTCTCATAATACTAATACCTTCCTGGCACCATACATAATTATTACAGTTTTATCGACTATATTCTCTATATTGTACTTTATATCCCAGTGACTATTTTGTAACTGCTAATTTATACTTTTAATCCCTTCAACCTTTTGCACCCAGCCCTCTAACTGTCCCCTCATCTGTCAATGATTAGTTTGTTCTCTGTGTCTATTAGTTTTTCTCATCTGTTTATTTATTTTTAGATTTCACATATAAGTGAAATCATATGGTACTTGTCTTTCTCTCTCTAACTTATTTTACTTAGTGTAATACCTTCTAGATCTATCCATGTTGTCCCAAATAGTAAGATTTCATTATTTTTATGGCCAAGTAATATTCAGTTTTATTTATATACCATCTTTATCCACTTGTCTATTTATTTTTATGTTTTATTATTTCATTTTTATTGTTATTCTATTACAGTTGTCCCAATTTTTCTCCTTTTGCCCTCCCCCAACCACTTCTACAGTCACTTCCTATACTGTTGTCCATGTCTGCGGGTCATTACCATATGTTATTTGTGTAGTCCCTTCTGTTTCTTTTCACCACCATTCCGCTACCTCCTCCCCTCTGGTCTCTTTCAGTCTGTTCCATGTTTCCATGTTTTTGGTTCTATTTTGTTCATTGGATTCCTCTTATAGGTGAGGTCATATGGTATTTGTCTTTCACTAACTAGCTTATTTCACTTAGCATAATATTCTCCAAATCAATCCATGCCACCACAAAAGGCTGGAGTTCCATCTGTCTTTCTGCTGAATAATATTCCATGGTGTAAATGTACCACAGTTTTTTGTTCCACTCATTGACTTCTGGGTACTTAAACTGTTTCTAGCACTTGGCTATTGTAAGTAGTGCTGCTGTGAACATTAGGGGTGCACAAGCTCTTTTGAATTGGTGATTCACAATTCTTAGGGTATATTTCTAGCAGCAGAATTATTGGAGCAAAAGGCAGTTCCATTTTTATTCCACTAGTCTATTGGTGGTCACTTGGGTTGCATATCTTGGCTATTGTAAATAATGCTTCAATGAACATAAGGATGCATATGTCTTCTGGATTTAGTGTTTTAGATTTCTTTAGACAAAAATTCAGAAGTATAATTGCAGGGTTATAAGACAGTTCTACTTTAATTTTCAAGGAACCTCCATACTTTTTCCATAGAGACCACACCACTTGCAACCCACCAATAGTGTACAAGGGTTCTCTTTTCTCCCCATCTTCACCAACATTTCTTAGTTGATTTACTGATGATAACCATTCTCACAGGTGTGTGGTGATTTCTCATTGTGGTTTTAATTTACATTTCTCTGATGATTTTTTTAAATTTATTTTTTCAAATACATTTGTCTCTGCCTACCCCCCACCACCCTCTCCTGCCCCCTTCCTCTCCCCCTCTGTCAACTCCTCCCCGATGGTTTTGTCCATGAGTCCTTGCCATATGTTCCTTGACTTTCCTCTTCTCTGATGATTATTGATGTTGAATATTTTTTCATGTCTGTTGGCCATCTGTAAGTCCTCTTTGGAGAAATATCTATTCAGGTCCTCTGTCCATTTTTAAATTAACTTTTTGCCATTAGGTTGTATGAGTTCTTCATGTATTTCAGATATTAATCCCTTATCAGATGTATCACTGGGAAATTTTGTTCCATTCAGTAGGTTTTTTTTAATATTGTTGATGTTTTCCTTTGCTGTGAAATTGTTTTTTAGTTTTATCTCATTTAGTAATTTTATTTGTTTATTTTTCTTTTGTTTCTCTTGCCTGAGGAGACATATCTAAAAAAAAGTATTACTGAACACTATGTTAGAGATTTTACTGCCTGTGTTTTTTTCCTAGGGGCTTTATGATTTTGGATTTTACATTTAAGTTTTTAACCATTTTGAGCTTATTCTTGTAATAGGGTATGAAAGTGGTCTAGCAGGGTACAAAATATAGCAGGAGTCACAAATCAGTTGCATTTTTATAAACCACTAACAAATTATCAGAAAATAAAATGAAGAAAATAATCTTTTTTAAAAAATTGCACCAAAAATAATTAGGAATAAATATAATCAAGGAGGTAAAGACCTGTGCTCAGAAAATTAGAAGACATTGAAAAAAGAAACTGAAGATACAAATAAATGAAAGAATATCCTATGACCATGGATAGGAAGAATTAACATTGTTAAAATGTCTATAGTACCCAAAGCTATCTGTAGATTCATTGTAATTCTTATCAAAATACCAATAATATTTTTCACAGAACTAGGAGAAATAATTCTAATATGTATATGGTATTACTAAAGATCCTGAATAGCCACAGCGATCTTGAGAAAGAAGAACCAAGCTAGAGGTATCATGCTACCGGGCATCAAACTAAACTAAAAGATTATAGTAATCAAAACAGCATGACACTGGCTTAAAAGCAAACTACATAGATCAATGAAACAGAATAGAAAGCCCAGAAATAAAACCACACTGATATGGTCAATTAATCTATGAAATAGGAGGCAAGAATATACAATGGGGTAAAGACAATTTCTTCAAAAAATGGTGATGGGAGAACTTGGCCAGATAAATGCAAAAAAAAACAAAAACAAAACAACAACAACAACAATTTTTTTTTCAGGTTACAAAGATACCCAGATACTAATAGACTATATACCTAGGCAAAGGTTTTTTTTTGCCAATAGCACAGTGAAGGGCATCCTTCACTTCCTTGTTTCTGAGAGTGTAAACCACAGGATTAAGGAGAGGAGTGAAAATGGTGTAGGTCACTGAGATCAGCTAATTCTGATCTCTGGTGTTCTCTAACTTGGGCTTGAAGTAGGCAGTGGAGGCACAGCCATAGTGTACAATGACCACAGTGAGGTGAGAAGCACAAGTTGCAAAAGCCTTCTTTCTGCCCTCAGTTGAGGCAATCTTGAGGATGGTAGAGATGATGAGAATATAGGAGACGAAGACCAAACCCATGGGCACCACAATAACAACTGAGCTGATGATAAAATTAATTATGTCATGTTTATAATTATGTTAATTATGTAGATTTGTGTCAGCAAAGGAGAGTTTCATAACTGGGCAGGTGTCACAGAAATAATGGGCCACCTCTCTACCACAAAAGGGCAGTATGAACACAGAGGAAATCTGAATTATGGCCACAAGAAGCCCAATGCTGCAGGACCCCCATACCAGTTGGGCACATACCTTCTTGTTCATGATGACCATGTACCTTAAGGGTTTGCAGATGGCCACATAGTGCTCATACCCCATTGCTGTGAGTAGAAAGCAGTTGTTGATGGCCAAAGTGAGATATACAAACATCTGGGTGGCACAGCCAGCCAGGGAGATGGGTTGGCTTTCTCCTATGAGGCTGGAGAGCATCTGTGGTACAATGTCCAGTGTGTACATAGTTTCTGAAGTTGAAAGCATACGAAGAAAGAAGTACATGGGGGTGTGAACATGATGATCAATACTGATAATTGTCACAATGATAACATTGCCAGCCAGGGTTAAAAGGTTCAAGGTAAGAAATACTACAAATAGAGTCAGCTTGTGTTCATGAAAGCTGGAAAAGCTCTGGAAAACAAATTCATTCACCACTGTGCGGTTCTCTCTGTTCATTGACAATCCACATCTAAAAGCTGGAGACATAGGCCAATCAGTCAGAATATATCAGTGTCCAATGCTTTGAGCAGGGGAACTCTAGGAAAATGAGGTAAGGAACTGCTCCTGGATGGATGCCAGGTAAATGGAGACTACTGTTCACTTATAGATAAAGATAAAAAAAACACAATTAGGAAATAATTCTATGTATATAGATTTATATACAAAGGTAAAGATTGGATAAGATGGAAGGATCAATGGGGCAAGTTTAGAAAATATTTCCTGATGAGTTAGAACATAGGTGTTAGGGAAAAACTGAGGCCGAAGAAATAGGAAATGAATAGTTAAATTTGAGAGGAGCTTTATCTTGGGTTTTAGTTTCAGAGTTTTTTTTACCTAAAACAAATTTACCAATCTTTTCTACTTTGTTTAAAGCACAATTTTTATCTTGAATATATTCCTTTCTAAATTGAAAGAACAAGATATAAATGTTTGCTTTATCTCGGTTTCATTTGTCTGCAACTTTAACACCCTTTTCACACATTATTCAATAGCCTCAAATCTGTCTTTTCTCCATTGTTTTGTAAAAATTTTTACTGAATTTATTGGGGAAACATTATTAATAAAATTATATAGATTTCAGGTGTACAATTTTATAATACTTCATCTGTATCTTGTAGGACACACTACACCGCCTCAAATCAAGTGTCCTTCCATCTCCATTTATCCCACCTTTACCCTCTTCTACCCCCACCCCCCTTTCCCTCTGTGTCTATGAGCCCACCTTTCGTTCTCTTTCCTTTTTATGAAGATACCACATTCAATTACACACCTGCCATTAAAAAAAGGCTGGAAGGATTTCTTTTCCTTTCTGTGTTGCTGGTCTTATTTTCCTTGCATCTTTGTATTGTTGGTTAGGTTCCACTTATACGTGAGATCATATGGTATTTGTCTTTTGCCCCCTGGCTTATTTCACTTAGCATAATGCTCTCCAGTTCCATCCATGCTGTTGCAAAGTTTAGTAGTTCTTTTTTTCTTTCTGCTGCGTAGTATTCCATTGTGTATATGTACACCAAAAGGAAAAGAAATCAACAGAGACAAGAGGGAAGGAGGGAGGAGGGACAGGGACAAGGAAGGGAAGGGGAAAGTCAAGGAACATATAACAAGGACTCATGGACAAAACCAAAGGGGAAGAGCTGAGGGAGGATAGGAGGGAGAGGGCAAGGGAAAGAGGTGGGGGGAAGGCAGAGACAAATGTATTTAAAAAGTAAATAAATTAATTAAAAAAAAAAAAAAGGCTGGAAGGAAATATTCCAAAATGCTAAAATACTTTTTTTTCTGGGTAGTGAATGGAGAATCTTAAATTATTTTTCTCTTTATGCTCCATATATTGTACAGATTTTCTTTGAAATTATTTTCTTCTAAGCACAAAGCCTAATTTTATAATTCTGTTCTAAAATAGAACTCTATAATGAGGCTGCAGAGAGAACTAAGGAGAAAAGGTGAAAGTAAGGGATTTATTTACTTGTGAGAAGAGAAGTTGACAGAACAGGTATTTTATAGAAATTTGTACACCTAAGGACCATATCAAGAGGAAATTAACTTCAGTTTTCAAAGAAAGATTTCTGTTTACTTGGTAAACAGAAAAAAACTTTCTGAACAGTGCTGGAAGTAGAAGGTGGCAAGTGACGCACTCATCTTTGGTGCAAAGTTTAAGGGAGCACTATAATCAAGATGAATACAATTTTAATAAAATATTTTTTAAATCAGTGTAAAAATCCATGATAAAAAATTGAAAGTTTAAACAACCACATGGTCAATTCTAAATATTAATACAGTAAGATGTAAGTAGTTGGATGAGGACAGATTTTGGAATTTTTTTACTAAAATTTTGTAGGAACAGAAAAATAAAAAAATATTTCAAAATACAGAGAAAAATATGCAGTAAAATATGTATGTGTAAACTTTCCTCAGGGGTATGGAAATAAACTAGTCTTTAACCATTACAGTTTGGCTGAGATTTATAATTTATTACTGAACAAAATAAAACTCAGATCTTATATAAATAGAGAACCAATCCTACCCACACTAGAAGGAATAGAAAAACTAAGCTAGGCTATAGAAAAGATTGAATTGAGCTTGTACATTAGCGCAACTGCTCTCCTCTTTCACCATCCCCTCAGGAAACAGTGACTCAAAAAATTGCAGAGATCTGATGTGTGATAACATTAGGATTGTCATATGATCATGATCACTGAAACAAAATGGCAGCCTCCATCTGTGGAATCCATGTCACTGAGAAATATAGGACTTTATGCCAAAATGTCTTTCCTTGGATTCTGGATCTTTAGCCTAACATCTTTCCAAACCAAAAATATGTAAAACTAATGTTTTTTAGAAAAATTATTTCTGCTTAGCCCTGGCAACCAATCCTGCACAAGGGGTTAATCTTATCCATTTCATTATTCAAGCCTTTCCAGTTGGAAGCAAGCTGGAAAAACTCATATGCTTTGTAGCTTAAGTTATTTAAATATAATCATAGAAACTTAGCCTACAGTTATTGGAAATTCTTTACCTTACAAGTTAGCATCTCTTCTCTTTTAAAAAACACAGATACTAAGTATACTTAAAAATAAAAACAGGGTTTTCATGGTATAAAAATGCTTAAGGAAAAAAGCCATCTGTAGAGTATAAATGGAAAAGTTAGTTTTCTAGTTCTATATGCATTCTTTGTTCCAGAAGTAAACATAATTCATGTTTGTTTTTAAAATTTATTTGTCTAGAAAATTTTTATATATAATTATGCATATTCCCATATCATTTCAATGTTACACAAATGGAATTATATGTAACATACCAATTCACAGCTAGCTTTTTCACTTAATATTATATCTTGGCTACTTTCCATAAATCTATCTCACTCATTGTTTTCAACAGTACATAATATTCCATTTATAGATCCATGCAGACCTACTGTCATTAATTCTATTTTTGAATGGCCTTAATTCTTAGAAAGTGTTACTTTCTATTGATTCAATATCTGTTTTCCTGCAACTCTCCACCTGCCCACATTATTCTACCTTCTATTTCTCTTTCAGCCAGATAGTATTTAAAATATTTGAAGATCATTATCATGTCTACTGAATTTCATGTTCTTGATTCCATTACCACAGCAAGATGATCAAAAAGAAATATAATATTAATGGATGAGAATCAATACAACCAAACAAATACTGGAAACCACAGAGAGAAAATGATAAAATTTTAGAAAAATACATGGCATTCCATTTTCTTTTAGTTCTGCCAACAGCGTCTCACTGCTTCTGACCTTTGCAATAGGAAGGAGTCACTTTCCAGATAGTCATCTTTAAAAGGAATTGACTCTATGCAGAGAATGCCCATGAAAACACTTTGTTGTGGAAGTCAAAATGCAGAAAGCAAGGAAAATTCAGCTGTCTTTAGTATCAGAGAAGAACTTCAAATTATTGCTATATTCCTCGAGACTGGGGGCATTAGTTCCTTTTGCTGAAGAAGTGGCCCAGGAAAAAAATGCAATCTCTTAAACTGAGGTTTCAGGAGCTTTGAGCATTTATTTTCCCCAAGAGAAGAATATCTCTTTGTCCTATGTCTCTTGGGAACACCCCTTTGAAAATCTCTCCAGGGTACTAAGAAGGAAGAATGTGAACCCCCACACTTGTCTCAAGGGTTTCATTAGGAACTTGCATAACAGATGAGAGAGAGAATGTCAAGTGTTTACTCATTATCAGGGTTTGTTGGGATTTCAGAACTAACTCTTCACTGAGTTTTAATCAAGTAAAACCTTAAGAAGACTCAATAAGGTTACAAAGAGAACACTCCAAATTTTAGTTTCTTGGGGTTATAGAGAAAACCAACTTCCTGAAACTTATTCAAATAAGATGAGACAAGCAGAGGGTTATAGGGCCTAGAGGCTCTTTCGTGCAACTTCAGCTTATAGCCAATTATTTTTAAGTCTCAGTGGATGTGCACCTCAGCATAACTCTCCCATTTAGAGAGAGCAATGTCCCATGCTTGGCAAAAGCAGATGATACAGTCAGATCTATTCCCCATTCTCCCTTCAGTTCATTCACAGATATTGCTGGAGAGAAAATAAAACAGCAATAGATCTTTATCCCATCAAATTCAGTTTCTGGCTCAGCACAACTCCATCAAGATGATCTCTACCTATGACAGAGGCTTGAGGAGCCATGTTACAGCTAAACTGTAAAAGAAGATTGTCATAAGAATCTTCAAAATTTTAGACAAACTAAGAATCTTCTTTCTAAAATAATCCTATTTTCCTTTAATTAAAAACTTTTACATGTTAATTAGAGAAAACACAAGGAAAAAATGATAAATCATTTATGATCTTCAAATTATATCGACACTATTAACATTTTGGTGATTTGTTTTCCAATCTTTTCTCCGCACGTTCATATGTGTACTTGTTTACATACACACACACATACACACACACATAGACTTAGGTTTATGGCACAAATAATGTAGTAATTACTTTTTTTATCCTTTTGTCCTTTGTAAAAATATGAGATCATTCTATACAAATTCTTTATACTCAGTTTGTTTGTTTTTTTCTCCTAGCAATATATGGTGAAACTTTGTTATATCAATAAACAATTTTCTACATTATTAGTTTAAAAAAGAGCCTTGCCTTTAATCATAGGATTGTCCTATATGACACTATTGTTTCAAGATCTAAACAAGCACCACACATTGCATTTTGTTAAGTCTTTTAAGTTCCTTTTATTCCAGACCAGGGTTTCTCAGTAGTGGTATTGTTGATTTTTTTTTTTTTTTTTGCATCATCCTTTTAAAAATACTTTCATTTATTGACTAGAGGAGGAGGATAAGTTTGTTATTCCACTTATGTATGGCTAATTGTTGTATGTGCCTCACCACGGATTGAATCTGCAACCTTGGCATATTGGTAGTATATTGGGACCATGCTCTAACCATCTGAGATATCTGGCAAGTGTGGC